ATGCAAAAATTGGATTCAAATAAACGATTATTAAAATTTATTATTTTTCTTTGACTCCCTCTCCTAACATAAATTATCAAATTGGTTAACAAGTTATTATCAAATTTGGCAATTTGGCTAATATAAAGTTTCGTAAACGAGCTGAAAGTTCAAGAAAAATATGTTCTTCAAATCTCGAGCCCTCTTAGGACGACAAATTTGTGCACTTTCAAGCCTATAGAGCCGAAAAAAAAAAATTAAACTAGTGACGATTAATCACTGCAAATTACTGGAACTTCTCTTAATGAAAATTACATTTTATAAAGAGCATTAAAATTTTCAGAAATATGAAAAAACGCTCTTTAAAAAACTTTTTTTTATATACGTATATATTGAAATTTTTTGAAAATTATGAACTTTTTCAAAGCAATCGCGCTGCGAAAAATTTCAAAAATATTTCAAAATATAAAAAAAACTCAATTTTCAAAAATTGATTATTTTTTAGTTTTCAAAAATTGTAATTTTTTTTTAGTTTTAATTTTTGGTACAGGAATAATATATAAAAACAATTTAAGTAACATTTCAGGGATGGGGCGGCATTTTGTCAGTGCCCCAGGGCGCCAAATTTCTAAATCCGGCCCTGCCTGCCTTACCAAACGTGCCTTATTCATGAGTTCTTCATTTCGTCAATTCAAATAAAATGTTCCTTGAATCATACAAATCGGACGCCGCGTTCTCTCAAAAAATCAATTACCATTTTGGACACTTTTTGCCCCGTATCTTCGAAACGGCCAAAAACTAATCAGCACCTTATCAAGTGTCTCCTTATCAATACGAATCGTATGCTTTTTGAATTAGTCAAATCGGTTGACCAGTGTTTCCGAAATCGTCGACGAAAATTTGTATCCGCACGCACACACTCACACACACATATATACATGAATATTTTCTAAGGTGAATAAAAAAAATTGAATATTTCCAAAAATGAATAAAAAAAAAATTTTAAAAGTTACATATATTAATATATCTAATACATTTCCTCTCACTCCACTTCACGTTCTAAAAATTCTTAAATAAAATGTGAGCTCGCCTATATTTACACTAATAAAAATATTCTTCCTATTTTAGAAATTGTAATAAAAATATATCATATATGTGGAAACTATTTTTAAGTCAGATCTGCACAACAGCTAATAGGACTACTAAGTTTTGATTAACATTCAAAAATTTAAATATCACAACCACAGAACAAAATATACTAATTGTAAGTATAAATTCCAACTGGCATCGTTAATTCTGATTAGAATCCAATTCCAATTCCAATTAGACTTTGGCGATTTTTATAATACAACATCCAAATAATACAAAGCCAGAAACTGGTTAAGGATTCACGTTTCGCGATATATTTTTTATAGGGCTATTCGTTTTATTCAGAAATAGCTGAAAAATGCATATACTTTGTCCACTTTTTCGCCAAAAATCGAGAATAGTTTTTCTTGATCAAATCGATTATTTACATTTTCGGTTTATGCAACTTGCGTTAAGATAAAGTATCACTTACACTTAGTTTTATTTTTATACAACTATTTATTTGATGCTGGAATAGTCTCAAAATGGTATAAATGCAAGTCCTTTCAACAAATGATATCGTAATAAATGACTAAAGATTATAACGCATTACAAGTATATACAAAATTCACAAAATTCTATCACTTTCCCATGACGAGTATACTTGCCAATTACAGTTTACTGGTTAATAAATAATAAAATTATTTTATTTCATTTTATGTAATACTTTATTTCATAAAATGTAAAATATTTGTACATGCTCACTCACCAACTGGGGCCCACGCGATAAGCTAATATCATCCAATGATATGATTCATGACAATCATTAACAAGGAAACTGGTTTTGCCATCCAGACTATGAATGAGATAGTACTGTTCCAAGTGTTGACCATTTTAAAAAATGTCAACACTTCTATATTAGTTCAATGTTACTCATAGGTGATTAAATTCACAATCTTTACTACAAATTGAGATACCGATGACTATAAAAAGCGAAAGAAACAATTTTACTGCATTTAATAGTTATGTTGAAGAATTCAAGTATGGTTTGACATTGACCCATGGCTGACCAATAAATATCATTAATGATCGACCAGTGTGACTCATGATGCATAAATTGCAAAAAAAAACTGAGAAACGTAACACTACCAACATATTATTTTAACACATTTACGTATAATATGATATAATTATGATATTTATATATTCTACATAAAATAATATATGAAAAATAGATGGTGTTGTTGATTTGATGGTGTCCTCAAAGCCATCTATTTTTCACGGCAATGTTGAAGTCATAAATATAAAAGCAATTAAATCATAAATTAAAATGCATGTAATTTGAAGAAAAAAAACGCATTAAAAATAATTTATTTACATCTTACTAATATACTAAGAGTATTTTAAGACTCTTATAAAAAAGAGGAGTGATTCCCACCGAGGGGCAATTCGTGAATTTAGGAGGGCAATTTAAAAATTTGGGTGATTTATATATTATGGTAGTTAGGTAAAACATTTAACAAAAAACCCTTATTAAATTTTAAGGTGCCCCTGTTTGGCTGGAACAGTCGCAGTTTTCCACCTTGCTTTCCTTGGATTTTCTAGAAGCAATATTCGTGACTGAGTTAGGATTTCTCTCCCAGGTTGGCCCGATTTTTTGAAAAATTTATCTCGAACTTGAATTTTCCTCATGACTTAAAAATTAAATTAAAACTACTCAACAAATATCTGAAAATAATATAAAACAACACATTATAAAAGATAATAAATGGTATAAAACTACACATTGCGAAAGACAATGTCGCGAAATGCAAAAATTCAATGGGTTTAATTTAATTATAAAATTTAAAAATTCAGGTTTTGTTAACAGATAATTATCATTCATTACAAAATAATTGAGAGAGGCAAAAGAACTTCAATAACTATTTCTTCTGCTATTCTAATATATTTTATATATAAGCAAATCACTCCGAGATTACGCGCAAATTTTAAACCGAAAATTTAAACATGGTCGATTTTTTTTTCAAATAAAACTCATAATTTTAATTGTTTTTAAAATAATAATATTCAAATAAAAAAGCAACATAGAAAATATATTTTATTCTTTATTACATAAATTATATTACAATACACTAATATTTTAGTTTTATATCACATTAGGTAATAATATTTACATTAATTGGAATGAAAATATGGCAAATATAATTGATAAAATATAATTTAAAATGTGAAAATAATTAAATTATAGATATATAATTACTTACATAATTTTAGATCTACATATAAAAGGTGATATAGAATTTCATTTTACAAAAATTTCAAATGCAGCAGAGCAAATGAATTCATATTAGTCATATTTATTTTGTGAGCATTTTTCATTTCGAATTGAATTAATTTAAGAATAGAACATATATATGTATATATGTATATATGTATATATATATATATATATATATATATATATATATAAATATATTTCAAATTCCATTCAAATTTGGCTCACAAAATAAATATGAGTATATAGTTTGAAAAGCACTGCATTCTTATATATAATCTAAATAAATTTGTATAATAAAGAATTCAAAGTAAGATATTGAATAGAATATTTGTTTCATAGCACTTTAAGATATACAAATAATTAAGTACACTTGTATCATTCACAACGAGCAGTACTAAAATGCATTGAATACAATGAATTGCAACATACAATCTAATTGTAATATATTTGCTATTATCGTAAATAAATATTTGAGGCACTTTTTCTAAAGAAGCTCATCATACATTTAATTTTTTTTTTCAACTACAACAGAGCTTTTAAAGTTAATAAAAATACTGGTAAATATAAGTATTATTTAATGCTTATGAACTTGAGTATTTTAAGAAATATGAGAAGCAAATGCTTTGGAAATAGCTTAATATTTTTTATACATAATACATATATACTAATCAGAATTTTAGGATATTTCATAAACTATAAGGCAACCCCTAGTAGGAACAATACTTATAAAATACTCATAAACAGTATGCAATTAAAATTGCACTTCACAATATTTCAGTTCTTTTTCCATTTCATTTCATCAAATTATTATAAAATCTATTAAATGAACAATATAAATTTTCATTTTATTAGTTCATATTTAAAATATGAACATTTACTATTAAATTTTTAGCAGCCATAATGAAACCATGCAAGTGAATGGTGTGTCTTCATATACAAGAATTATATCAATTTTTGTTGTACTTATAAAAATAAAATAAAATATCGAAATGATTAATTATGTCATATTTCGGAATAGTAAAAGATTCACTTCTGGCTGCTATAGAAGTTCATCCTGCATACATCAAAATCATAAAAAAAAAACAATGTTATCAGAGCCTAATAACTCATCCATATATGTAAGGTATAATACTTAAGGCAGAATTAAATAGGCATATAATGGTGATAATGGTGATGGAATCGGGCATATATGTGTTTAAATAAATAATTTCATTTCAAACAATGACTGAAAAAATGAGGTCGTTTAACTTCAATTCTGTATCTCGAAATTAATTATGAATATTAAATAAAACCGCATTCAATGCGACATTCTTGAAATAAAAACTTGATAATACATATTAATTAGATTTCTTGACATTTCATATCATCTATGCCATATATAATGTTATAAATTTTGTATAAGCTTTAAATACTATATTTAAGAAAAAAAAGTTGAACATGTGTGTATACGTAAGAGCATTGTTATAAAAATTAGATCTTAAGATGTATATATATGATAATTCACAATATAAATCCAAAAATCGATTAATAAATTCATTGTTTAACTGTGAAGTAGAATTGAATATGATCGTATTGATATATTAGCAGAAGTCAACATATTTGATATCAACCAAATAATATTTTATTGGTTAAAAAGAATTGGTTAAAATGCCTGAAATTAGATATAGATCACAAATGGTATTTAAAATGTATATGATTCTGCTTCCCCTACCTGAAAAATCTTACAAATACGAATCTATGTAAATTACCATTAATACTGTCAGACTTTTGAACCAGTTTGTTCTTTTATCATAACTTGCGTGATGTAAGGACCTCGACTTCTGGGCAAACCAACATTTTGTTTATTACCTGCGCCTGGCAAATTATAAACGGGAGAAGTTTGGCCCGAACTCTGCGGCGGCTGCGGTTTCTTGTACGGTTGAGGCGCATGTTTCGAATAAATAGCACCATTGCAATGCTCGTTGGGTGATGTTTGGTAAATATCAGAATTTTGTCTTGAAGGCGATTTTTGATAATGGTTCGCCTTGTTTCCCTTTGCCCATTGTACGCTCTCATATTCGTAATATGATGACACGGGTCTCTGGTGCGGTTCGGATCGATTCGAACGGGTCGAGTGATACAACTGCTGTCGTCGACTGAAAAAAATAATAATTGGATCAGGAGATTAAAAATGCAAATGTGCACAAGATACTAACAATTAAATTTACATACTGTGTTAATAAAATCTACACGATCAAAGTAATATATAAAGAAACGTTGGTCCAAGGACTCAACGTTAAGCCGAAACGGCGTGATAGTATTGATAAATCATTTATAAAAAAAAGAAAAAAAATATTTCAAGTATTTGAAGCATTTCAAAATTAGGAGCATTTAAGTACAAACTGAAGCTCTGGTAAAACTAAAACCATTTTCCAGTTATGTGGTTAATTTTTATTGTTTTATCATTTAAACTATGGTACTGTAACCGTAAATACATTTCTAGGACTATAATCAAATATAATATACGAAACATCAAGCAGATTAAGGGGAGAGCCTGATTTACAGGCTTTAAAAAATCGATTTTTTATAGCAAGATTGTCTTCCAAAACTATCCAAGAATATATCCCTAAAATTTCAGAAACAAACTCTAATTATTTTCAGAATTACAGAAGAAATAGTGTGCAAGCATCAAGCATATATACAAGCGGAACAAAAACTTCGATTCACGATTTCTCGGTTTTGAATTTTTTCGATTCTTCCTAATTGGCGGGAAAGATAGGAAAAAAATTAAACGTCCTATCGAAATGAGAAAAAAATCATTGTATTCAGGATTAAATTCTATTTTAATTGAACCTAAAAAATCTTGCAAAAATTGGTGAATTTCTCTTTTTTTTTCTGGATTTTTTAGATTCAACTAGAATCTATGCTATTGAAAATATATATTTGTTTCGGATAGAAATTGTGACCCTCAACTTTCCCGCCAAATGACATCTGCTTATATATTTTAGTGGAAAAATGGACAGAATGTTGAAATATATAACAATGAAACCTGAAAGTTTCGTTTCAATTAAATGTTAATTTCGTTCCCTAAATATTCCTCAAAAAAGCGATTTTTTGAAGTCTCTAAAGCAGACTCCCCCCTTAAAGATATGTTTACAACGCTCTAGACCTCTGATGCAAACAAGTTTCAAAATACAATACATAATAATATTTGTTGGTCATTTCTAGAAGTTTGTAGTTCACTTTCATTTGTTATGTAAGTTCTATAATCTTTGAATCTATCTCCATGGGCTTACTTGCGGACCCATTGTTAGTTTTGCAATAGCTACTAAATATATTTTTATTAATCAGCAAAATGGTTTGCAAAAAAATATTCAAGGAAGCTGGCTATTGTAATAGAAAGATCTTAAATAACTCCACCTTAATTTTTCAAGTGTGAATGTAATAAATAATAATTTTTTTGTTATATCTATTAGTGATGGACATGCATTCTACAGTTTTTCTTCCTACAATCCTACCTTTCTTCCTCCACCTTTCCTCTCTGGTGCAGAACTTGCCTGCGCATTTGCTGAATTTGACTCTCTGATAACCGATCGCAGCGCGAACTGAACATTCAGGACAAACATGTAGAAGTTAGTAATATTGATAATGCAATGCAGGCTGTGTTAAAATATTAGTACCGATACATGTTCACAATGCACATTTTAGCTGACAAGAACTGATCATGCTACTATTTTGTGCAAGCATACAATGGAATAATATACATTTTAATTAAAAAAACTCGACTAAAGATAATGGCAAAATTGCAGGTCAAAAATATAAGTTTTTCTAAGTGTAATGGTAAGCATTCTTACCATTTATATTTGAGAATTTTATTAAGACATAATGCTTTTCATTTTTTAAAATTAAAGATTTTTTTTAAGATATATTTGTGTATAGCATATTGCATTGTTCCACCTGTAGCATTTGACAAAAAATTTCTATAAAATTTAAATAAGGCGCAGATACAATGAGCTCAAATTCATGCAATGTGTGTTTCTTTAATGAGAGTTAATATGGTGTTTCACATGCCAATAACATCCAACTATACATTGATGTAGCCCTAATAGATTGATTTACGTAAATTATGTATCAATTTGGAAAATTTTAACACATAATTGATATTTTCTTTATAAATATAATTTCAAATGTTATTTCGAATCATATAAAAACAACTATGTGTTTCTAGATTAGCATTTATTTACATTATGTTTATATAAGTATACAAACGGAACTGAACAAAACCTATCACATAAACTATATATATTTGCATTTTTTTAATTTTTAATTGCTATCTATAAGTTGCTGAGATCAAAAGCTAAATTGCTTTTATAAAATCACATAGAGCATAAATTAGTGAATATTAATATTTGATGGATTTTACAATTCATACATGTGGTAATCATTCATAAGCAATATTATATTATTATATTTTTGAATTGTTTTAATCAAGCATCTAGTGTAATATATTGTTTTGTAATATATAAAAAATCAAAATCAACAGAATGCAAAAAAATAAACAGAAATTAGAAACTTCATGACTGATAAATTGATATAGACCTATAATGTAAAGTTAACATTGTAAACTGTAGCATTGTTGTCACAGAATGACGGTTTTAGATAAAATAATATCTATCCGATGACAATGATGAGATGAACTTTTTTAGGTGATCATTATAGTTGAACATGTACAATTACACTAACCTCAAATGATTCTGAATCTCTTCGTAATTCACATAATGGGAATATCGGCCCATATTGCCTGCATCTGCTTGTGGAACATTTACTCCGACCACCGGCGGCGGATTTTGATACCGTGGAGGCATTGGCGGCCGATCACCTTGGCTCTGATTCGGATTTGCATCAGAAGTTATATCAGCAACACCGTCTTTGCGATGTTTTCCGAATCTGAACATATGACCAATACCCTTGAGTAGACCAGGCCGATGTTTTTTACGATTATTTTTGTTTTTCCCGTCGTTAAGTGATGAGAGCAGTGGATCGTTACGCGTTGGAAACGCTTGATCCGATGTGTCGTCCGTTAACCAGTGTTTTCTCGGCTCTGGAAATAAAAGAAAACAGCATTTATTATTTACTTCAAAATAGAAACATTGGTTCAAATGTATAATTGCAATATCCTTCTCATGCATAAAAGCAAAAAGTAATCACCACATATTTATTTTTAAATTATTATAATATTTATTATCTATTCATAAACAAGAAACTAAAATATTTCTTACGAGAATCGGAAGGCGCTTCCACAACTGCTCTCAGACTGTCCCCACAAGCTCGACCTCGTATCGGCCTAAGACCAGGATGAATTCTATTATCTCCCATCTGTAACTATATGCAAACAGAGCTGTATATTTCCTTTTCAAAGAAGTAAAATTCATTTTTATCAAGTAACATATTTAATTTACCTCTTGAACCATCGTTTGTAGCGATTCTAAGCTGGATGATTTCTTTAAACCTAAAGATGGTCCCAAGTCACAAACCCTATCATTCTCTTCAGAGGATTCTTCTTTGCCCAATTTCGCAATACCAGCCAAAGATTCAATAGATCCTACAAAAAATTCAATCAAAATAGACCATCAAAGATTTATACGTATATAGAGTATACTCGTCAATACACAAAATTCTGCCACTTTCCTGTGACAAGTGTATTTGTCAATCGCAGTTACCTGGTGAACAACAGTAAAATTAAAAATCCGGCAAAAAAACTAAGCTTATCAAAACGTATACAGATACACTCGATAGTATAGGAAATGAGCCTTAATAAAATATATCTGAATTAAATTAAATTATTTTTTTTAAATCAGAGTATAATGAATGTTTCTAAACATTTCGACCTCAAAATAATTGACAATTATCTATTCAAATATAAATATCTAACCTGGTGCTTTCCTTGTTTCTCCACCATTAGCCTGCAACATCCTTTCCCTTTCCCGTTCTTCACGTAATTTTTTGTTCCTTTGATAAGTTCCTGTACCTTTAGCATCCAACGCGGCGTGATGTTTCTCTGACATACTCCTGCGCCCTATGGCATCTCTGCTAAAAGCTTCTTCACCATTCAAAGACAATTGAGAAGCATAAGTGGCATCTGATGGCGTTTGAGGTTCACAGGTATCGTTCATTGAATTTGCTAACTCGGGAGACAGATGTTGTCCAGAACCATTAAGATCTCTCGCGTCATATAATTGCTTAGACAACCTTTAACATAGATTAACAAGAAACATTTAAATTTAGATTATAATGCAAATCTCAGAATAAATAATATGATAGCATAAAAATATCTATATCAACAATTCAATCGTATTTTCTATCAAAATGCTCATCGATTACTTTTTCATCGAAAAAAGAAAACTCACATTGGTCTATTTATTGTATCTGTTGTATCGTCTTCTATAAGCACTGCTTCTCCACTAGGCATAGTAACAGTTTGACTTCCCTGTCTTGAATGAGCACCACCACTGGTCCAAGTATTATTTGTAGCCTAAAGAAACAAAGAAAATAATATTAATTGCATGTTTGCACATTCTTATTTATAATTATCAATATTGATCAATCAATTATAATCTATTTACCATATAATAGCTTTCATTACGAAGTCCTGTGTTATAATTATTAGAATTACCAATGCCCGTCAGTCGTTCGACAACAGGGTTGCTCCATGTATCAACAGGTTCCATTGATTTCCTTAAAATAAAATGAACCGTGAAAATAAAACTTATAAGGTTACATAATGTTATCATATAATATAAAAATATTACATATAACATACCAAAAGTGAGTAAAAATACATACATTATTATATGTAGAAAGTATAATACTTCGAAATATCTACAACATAATTTTTATTTACCTGTTTGGGACATAAATAACAGTATTGGCTTCTTGTGAATCCAATCTTTCAGAGCTTTGCTCGCACATGTCTTCTGTTTCATCCATAGTTGAATTTGCGCCAAGTTTAACCGTCTCAGCACTTGATAAATTCAATTTATTAGAATTGATACTAGAGTTATGTCCATGACTGTGATTGTGACTATGGCTGTGATTATGACTTATTTTTCTTGCAACAGTTAAAGTAATACTTCCTGGGATGCGTCCACCAGAATGTAACATTGCACGGCGTAAAGTTTCCATCGCTTCAGCATTGGATTGATTTTGTAGTGAGAGACCGTTCACATTGAGAAGTTGGTCATTAGTTTTTAATCTGGTAAATTAATAATTGAAAATAAATATTAAAATTTACAGATATATACTCAAAGTCTATAATATTAAACAAATTCACGAATTTCTTAAAAGCTCCGTATTTCAATAATGTTAACAAGATATTACTATACTCATACCATAACTAATCAATTTGAGAGAACAGTTAACGGTTATTCTAATTCAAAGATCCTAATTTATCACAAACAAATTTTTCCTACTTTATTTGATTTTGCATTATATTTAATTTAAATATATTTTACATACCGGCCATCTCTTGACGCCGCTCCGCCATGTAGAACACTTTTGACAAATATACCCAAATCTCCACCAGCTGATGCACTACCAGGAGACCCAGTTTTTCCTTTCACGCTTACTCCTAATCCTGCTTTCTCCGTGTCATTTACAGGAATGTCAAAGGTCATTACTTCTCTATGTTTCCAAGGCAAGGATGCAACCTATAATTCAGAGATTTATTTTATATTTTAATTCATCTTATTAGAAAAATAGAGAAAGCAAACAAAATCACAGCAAGACATTGTATCAAATGATGTAAATATTGAAATCTTTAATAAAAAAAATAGAACTAGGCATTTTCCTTTTTGCAGAGTTTCTGAACTCTTAATACATATGGAAAAGTTTATCAATGGGTCACAAAAAAATTGTATTGATACAAAAAATCTACTAACACTATACGATTTTTGGCGTTGACTTTCTCTTAACTTTCGGTCAAGTTTTTCATCGGAACTTGTATTCAAGATCTTTTCCTGAGCTTTGTTCCTATCTTCGATTCTGTTTCTGTCCTCATCAGGTGTTGAAGGTTCATAACCCTGCAAATACAAATAATAAATGTGATGAATAAATGATTCAATACAGCATGTTTCAAAGCAGAATATATTTAACAGAATTATTAATTAACACATGCTTAAAAGCAGAATATATTTCTCAAAAACTTACAATTTCTCGTTCGTTGGTTGCATTAACGCCATTTTCCTTCTCTTGTCTTGATACAGCTATGGTAACGGTAGCACCAGGAGGTGTAGCACGAAGAATAGCGACCACTTCAGCCTGAGTTCGTCCGGTCATGGTTGCGCCGTTGACTTCCAGAAGCCTGTCACCAGGCTGCAAGCGACCATCTTCAACAGCAGCGCCCTAAATCATAAACGTATATTACAGAAATTGCGAAATAGAACTAAATTCAATAAAATGTTATACTATTTATAGCACCATGATCATCGTTGCAATAAAATACATAATTTACGATCGACTCAGGCGAACAATTAAAATTAATTATATAAAAAATAAGGTGGATACTAAATTAAATACAATTGTCAATTTTACTGTACGGAATTGAAAGTTTATTTTAAATAATATTAATCATATCTGTTTTAGTGATTCACTCTTCAATAATGTGATAAAATCAGATTTTCTACTCACTCTCGGTAGAATGTTCTTGATGTAAACAGGGCAGTGTCCACCAGCTGGATTATCCCTCGTGGTTACACTGAAACCTAAACCATGCGGTCCTTTCCTTAACGACAGTTCCAATCTTTTGCCCAATTTTCTTGTGTTTGAAACAAGTAATGAAGGTGGCCTTCCAGGCATTTTGCGATTTGGTGACACTGCAGCCATTTTGGTACCCACTGCTAAATGAAAAATATTTGTAACAACTTCCTAATTGAACACTACTCATCAATTCAATATGCAAAAGTTATTGCTTATAATGAACAATCGCAGTCCCACCTTACGACGCAAAAGTATGTTCGTATTTATAAATATCGTTTATTTGATTACAAATAACAATGTGTTATGTATTAGTATCGAATTTAATCATAGAACCGTATTGCCATGCCTGAATTGTTATGTTTAATAAAATTCCTATGGGAATAGGTGGGATAAGAGTAGTTTGTGAATATGACTCGTCGATAACAACTTGGAATATGAAATATTAAAAAATAGTATATTTTCAAAGTATTCTGTAAAAAAAATTCTCAATATAGTTAAAATATTTTTTTATGCAAAATATATATAAAAGCCGTTTACCATATACACAATCTTGTTTGAAAAACACATATTCTAACTAATTTAATACTCATTATTAATATTTATACTCACTTTTCTCATCAGCCTCAATAAGTACTTTATCTCCTGCATATCCATTATGTCCAGTTTGATTGGACCAGGCCGGATTGCGTTTCCGTCGCACCCTCAACCTAAGTTCTGGTGCATCGATACTGTTGCGGAAAGCATCTTCTACTGCCCGTAAAGGTAAATCCCGAAGATCTGTACCGTCAATAGATAGAACTAAATCACCAGGCTGGACACGACCTCTAGCTGCACGGCCACCAGGCTCCACTGCATGTACTAATAGCCCATCGCCCTCTGGAGCAGCTCGAAGACCTAGTGGAGCGCCCGCTTCGCCAAGAATTAATGTAGTTTCATATCTGGAATCGTAAGAAAATGATTTCCTTCTGTTGAAGATTCTACATTCAAGGATAGAATTAAATTGTTAATTACTGAGTGTCAGTCAAAATCATAATATATTCTTAACTATGAAATAAATATAGCAGTTTTTCAATATTTGGATTAAAAATTATAATATGTTAATCTTATATGTTGGAAATGCAATTTTTTTTATTAAATTTTATATACAAAATTTAAAATATAATAAAATGCAGAATTTATTCTATTTTAATAAGATAACTTACGTGTCATCATTGTTATCCATACGTAGATTATCGTCATTAGTATGACCATTTGTGTTAGCTTGTCCAAGAGGTTCCTTCCTCCTAGCCTCTCTAGGAAGAGATTTGCTACCGGCAAGTGCATGGTATGCCGATGCTCTTTCTGCTGCTTCAGCCCATTTTTGACTAAAATTTAAAAAACCAGTTATTAAGAAATATCGTGGTTATCGCAATTTACTAATATAGAAATTTTATTAAGTAATCAGCAAGAACTATAGTAAAATTGATTTCAAAATTAATCAATGTATCATATGTAAAGGATAAAAACTAGAGTCATACTTCGGGTTTACGCAAATATTTATTTTACTTAAGTCGTTGAATTAAAAATTCGTAGCCGTAATAATTAAACATTGTATATTAAACTATAATATGATAAATCAATCTAAAATCATACTGCATTTTTACCAGAAAACAGATCAATCAAAATTCGTTCGTAAATATCTCACCCGTTGCCATCTCCTAAAAACTGCATGGATAATCGTCCAGATCTTTGGAATTGCCCAACATTAATTTCATGCTCCGGGCTATTCTCTGCCAGCCATGGCATGGCTGAATAGCCTCCATGGCCGTTGCTGAGGGGCGTGCTGGTGTTAACATTAGGACCATTAAGACCATTGATTACTGAAGAGTCCTCATCGTCGCGGCAGATAGGGGCGGCTGACCAACGCTTTGTTGGGTCCTGGAGGAAATGGTAAAATAATACTTCTTATATGTATGTATTTTTTCATATTCTATTTTATATAACTAATTGAAAAAAAACAATATTGCCTTATAAACGTAACATATTTTGAATGGAAGCATATTTAAAATGCTCAGTGATAACATATTTCAAATAATATGTATATATATTTAATCTAACATTTGGAAGCGATGCCTGTAGTATATATTACACAATTATCTATAACTATTTTTCACTAATTTATGATTGCAATAATATGTAATTTTATAATGAGTTACCTGTCTTTCAATCGATAAAGCAGGCGGTGCTCTAGATTCAGTCCCTTGTCCTATGAGTGTAGGTTCGCTACCTCTTCGAACTTGCAGACCAGGTGGAGGATCGTTCCGGCTGCCGGTGACTTCAATGGGGGTTGGTGAGTATTTACCATTTGATCCCTATAACAAATAAATATAATAAAGATTCAACTCATATAATCAAGATGAGTTTTTTCTTTGCCTTACATAAATAATTGTGTTGATGCAAGTTATAAAATTTAAAGAAATTTGAAATTAATCAAAACGCATAAAATAATTATAATGTTGAGCTATTCTAAGAGTTGGAAGAGATGAAAAGAGAAAGGCTGTAGAAATGATATTAAATGATGCTCGTTGGATAATATTCTGTGATAAAGATAAAATTAAAAAAAAAGATTTTAAAGTTTCTTACCCTAAAAATATCCGGGCTCCCAGTCCCAACAGAACTGCCCCCACTAGCTCCATCTCCTTGGCCAATCGTGGGCCTATCTCTATCATCCTCATAACTTGCTAAAATTTGTTCACGGTCATCTGCGACATCTCCTAAGCGATCATCCGGATCTAGGATACCAGACTGGCTTTGCAGATGATGAACAACCACCCATGAATCTGGACACTGAAAAAATATAGTCAATTAAAATGATTGTCAGGAAAAAGAATTTGGGTGTTTAAATGAGGGTGACATTCAACGCAAAATGAAAAAAAATGTATATAAATAAAGTAAAATGGTAAAATAAAGGTGATCTTAGTTTCATCTATCAAATGCCATTAACAGTTTTGTACAGAAGCATCAACAAGTAAAATATTTTTACAAAATAAGAGTACAATTCTACATCTCCATACTACTAGTTGCGCAAATTTAATCCAAGTAAATAATATCACGCATTTTTCTGAAATCTTTATGGAATCTTTTACAGCCATTAAATGGTTTAAAACAATCTCAATGTTAGTGTGGCTAGACAATGGCTTATAATACTTTAACGCTATTTTAATTAATGCATTGTGTAAAAAGCAAAAGTTTGACATTCACGCAAATCAGCCGAGCGTAATAGAGAAACACATTAAATTTGAAAAGGTGTTCTTCAGAAATAATTGAATGCACATGTATGTATAATCGATAAAATTATGTACTCAAATAATTGGCATTTCAGTAAAACTAGTAAATATTACTACTTTAAAACATATAAGAAATTTAGAGACAAATGAATTCCCCTCTATAAATTATAAAAAAATACATATTATTAAAAATATATGAGATGAAGAAAGACCCTTAAAACAATTTGAAAAAAAAAATGATGAAAGTGCAATCTGTTCATAATTTTATTGCATATGAAACAAATGATTCCAATTTAAAACCAATAGTATTTCACTATAATCAAGACTTCGTATATATCTACAACTTTTTAGTATGCACATAGCATATTGAACAAATCACAGGAAATAGTCATCGGAATAATATATCAATATATCTATATGAAAACAATGATGTTCGGTACCAAATTGCATGTCTGTATACTTTCTGGATTGATTATTTTATAGGTATGGCAAAGGCAAAATTTCTAGTTTGGAACTAAAAAGTAATATTCAATTAAATAACAAACAATATCACCGAATGGCTTAATTTTTCTTAAATAGTAGATGATGATTGTATTCATTATTTGAATGCTTCCTAGTGACTATTAAGAAGATCATAAAATAAAACGTTTTGGCATGATAGTTGTGCACGTTTATCAAAAATATTGTTATCAAACAAGTGTTTGCAAATAGAAAAATCTAGATGCAAGTGGCATTTTAACTTAAGGTAAGGTGACCATACGTCCCGGATTGGCCAGGACAGTCCCGATTTTCCGCCTTGTGTCCCAGCTTTTTCTAAAAGCAATATTTGTCCCGGTTTTAGGTGTTTTGTCCCGGATTGTCCCGGATTTTTTAAAATGTTTTGATTGCCATTTTTTTTAATATACTTCAACTAGAAAATTGGAACCGAAAAAATGTGCATATAAATTTTTAGCTCACCAACACCCCCGCTCCCCGCTCTCACGCACATTATAATTCGTCCCGGATTTCATGCAAAAAATATGGTCACCTTACTTAAGGTAACTTGCAAAACCTTCCCTCTATGTGAAATCGACATGAACAATTAGTTATAGAATTTTGACGATATAATTTAGAAATTTTGGAACGGTCTACTATTCCAAACGTTGATAATTTCTCATAATTAAACTACTTACTGTATTATTTTAGAATGTTCTTTAAGACCATAAAATCTATCATTATATAATCCTGACTGAAATCTCTAAAAAATTTTGAATATTCAGAATAGATTCAGGACTTTTGAACAAAAAATATTACACGTATCTACCGGATCCTTATAAAGTTTCATTAATTGGCTTTTAAATTTATTTAATCGGTGCCACCGCTTAGATCACAAAAAAAGTCGACAAAATGTTAAGTTGGGGTTCACAGTTCTGTCTTTCTGTTCCTCGATGATTCATTACAATATCGGCATTAGACATAAGAAATGTATTATTTAACGCATTCATCTAATTTGAATTCCAAATACATCTTCCGGTCTCACTTTTATTTGGTCTAAAGACCGTTGCTTCCTCTGCACGTCGTACGAGCGCCTCCTGGCAAACAGACCAGTGATCTTGTCCGCCAAAGCTGGACAGCGTGGCGGTGCGTCGAACATGAGGAATGGTGGAATGACACCACCAATCACTTAATCACATTTTCACATATTTTTTAGCACTATAAATCAGTTTTTTAGGTAAATTTCAAATATGTATTGTAATAAATTTTAACTTTTTTTAACTTTTATATGCCACACTTTGATTTAATTGGTTAAGGAAATGAGAATCGCCAATGCTGCGTAAAATCAATATCAATAAATATTACTTCATCCGTATAATTTGTTTTAATCATCATTAATTTATATTACTCTATAATTAACATTGCTATATAACAAATTTTGTAATAGGAATTTAATTAAAATTTAATTTATTTTGAGTGAGTCAGGAATGCAATATTAATTGTTCAAACGATATTTCAATTCATTTAGAGTTTGCATACTCATACATATGTTATACTAATTCGCAAATTCATGATAAGAAATATTATGAAGCTCTAATACCATGCACGTTCCTTCAGAAAACTAATACAAATAGCATTGATAAACAATAGCGACTACAATAACAATTATAACCATACAAATAATAATAATATTAATTATTATTATTATGATAATAATGGAAATGACATTCATAATTTAATTAAAATTTGTTATATTGTTTTGTAGCTGAGATTAACAAAAAAAAATTGCAAAATATTTGATGTGTAGACTTCAGTAATATCAAATAGTCAATGCACAAATCTTTAATATTTGCATTTAAGAATGTAGTGATTATAAATAATAGAAATATCGATAAGAAGTTAGTTTATTGTTTATAAAAAGTCAGGAAGTAACTTGTTAGTCATCTATAACAATTACAAGAATGTTATTTTTACGTTTCGTTGGGAACATATATCTTCCACTATATTTCTATAATAATTGCGCGAGTATCGTGTACTTCAGATGATTCTCTTTAAAATGTACAAATTAATTTTAATGAAACAGAGTATTCATTATCAAATGGATAAACTATGAAGAGGTTTTTAATTCGATCATGTTTAATTTTTCTACCTATTACAATTTCAAATACGTGCAGGACTTCAGTGTTTCAATTATATTATATGAATGAATTCCAAGAAAAAATGTCTTCACGTAGCGAATTATATCGTAGAAAATAAAACTGCAATTTAAATCAAGTTTAAACAATTTGAACAATGCCATATTATATCAATGTTACCACTCGAGTAGACAAGGAGGTACATTTTGAAATGCAGACACATACATCATGGTCTATCATTGATGTTCATCTTTGATATTAGGAAAATGGCAGAACAATGAACGTCTCGAAGTTATTAGAATAATCTATTAAATTTCGAATGATATCATTGCCCTTTGTAGCTGATGAAAATGTAATGAATGAATTATAAAATCAGATTTTCTGGCGAAGCATAAATCAGTAGATGTATTTCTGAAAATATATATTTATAATCGTAGTCGTTCCAAGTTTAATTTACATTCATCATATCTTCAATTAACAACGGCTTTGTCACTATATCAATAGAAGAAACATACAAACAATATTACAAAAACAGGTCACAGTTGATTAAAATTTAACGGTGCTCTACATTGTGTATTTGCTTATTTCTAATAAGGAGAAAATGAAAATGCTCTCGTTATCGAAAGATATACAATTTCTGCAAACCAATGAACTAAAAGCATAGTTTAATAGTAAACATTATTTTGTAAAATTAGTGAATATAAAAAACATTTGTTCATTTCAGTTGTCGAAAACTGACTCTCTACTATTCACAAAATAAATAAGAGAAATATAATAAACAAAATTTTCAGAATATGAAATAAATATCCCGAAAAATATTTTAGGTAATATATAAAGGTCATACTTTGTGAGTTATTAAATTACAATCTGTCTTTACAGAAAAAAAGTTAAGTAATTTTGAAGTTCTTAAAGGTTACGCATTAGTAAGCCTTTTCGATTTTGATGAATTCTATTTAATTGTACAGTAAAAACAAAAATTATTATAATTAATATTTGAGTTTAAGAATGCCTTGAGTGCTCTAATCCTTATAGAGAACGATAGGGATTTTTTTTAAAAAAAACAAAAACGAATTGTGTCCTTCGATCAAAAAATATGCAATCTCTATATATAATACAACAACAAACTTTAAATATCTTATAAAATTATCATATATTAGTAACTATCTAAATGCCTAAGTAAATATCTAACTAGCTACTACAATACATTCATTATAACGACAAATACTACTGTTATTGAATTTATTCATAAAAATATGAGAATAACAATCGCGTGAAAACAGAAAATTTGGAGAGTGAGCACATGTCTCTAGATTAATTATTATTACTTTATAAGTAGAAGTATTTCATAATTTGTTCATATTAGTATAAAATATACTTTCTCAATTAGAATAATATTTTAAACGAAAACAAAACCTTACGTCCTATAAGCTTTTTGACTAAAACTTTCAGATGGTAACTAAACGGGTGAGCCATCCAGCCTTATTATACAGTTTCATATCAAAGAAAGAAGATTCAAGTAAAAGGGACTATTGCCTAAATTATTTAAACCAGTCACCTATTTAGATTAATTACTAACACAGACTATTATTGGATGCTATTTTTTTTAGATAATCCATTTTGTGACCAGGATACTAAATACATACCCCAAATTTAAAAAAAAATGTTAATAAACTCAAATTATTAAATTGTATTGTTAATAATTGTATAAATAAAACACTGGATAATAGCAGATTATTGAATTTTTTAACATCTATCTATTATCGTAAAAAGATATAAATTGATCATTCATCAAAAGCAAAATTGCTCACACATGTAATTTATCGTACAGCCAAACTCATATTGGCACGAATACAAAAAGAATTATTCAATTTTTGGAAAAAAAAAATTTAATTCAGCATATATCAAAGCTAAAAGTGTGCAAGAAATATCTCATATGGCCCGTTGCTGCAAG